TGTGTGTGTGTGTGTGTGTGTGTGTGTGTGTGTGTGTGTGTGTGTGTGTGTGATACATTGGACTTTTACTTTTAGAGACAACAATGACAGAATCATTAATCAAGACCTTCCCTAACTCCATATAAACACCAAATAAAGTTCATGTTTTGGAACAAAAGCAGCATATGGGAGATGAATCTGTATTACACCTGTTATTTACATCTCCATAGTCTTTCTCCTCTGCAAACTTCTGCTATCAAAAGTCTGCAACAGGACTGAAACAGCATGTGGGAAAACAAGCCAGCTTCAGAGTCAAGAGTTCTGCAGACTTCAATACCATATTCTATTTTAACTCTTGTTTTTGCTTGCTGAAGACCATAATACTAAGTGTGCTATGAAACAGCTATCAGATCACAATGTACATTTTGTTGAATTTGTTGAATTTCATGGATCATGAAGTATGCTGACCAGGAGCAAATGGTTTTTTCATACCCATTGTTCTCTCCTATCTTTATTCTATTGTGCTTCTGTGTCAAAAAGACAATTTTCCCAGCAGTAGAAAATATGTGACCAACCCAAAACACACCTGATGAATTGAAGCAATATGTATCGTATCGGTCAGAAATATTTGAGGAAAGTACATAAATTCCTGTGTTGTTTGCTGCACAGAGATAATAAGGAGTATGCCGGGGAAGTACGATTTTGTCTTCTATATAACCATATCTAGAAAAAAAAGGAAAAACACCATTAAGTTAATGTAAGGAATTATATAGCCAACAATTGGTAAGTTCTATTGGTAATTGGTAGTTCATTTGCTAATGTATTTGTTCCATACTCATTCATTCATTCATTCATTCATTCATTCATTTTATTTTTATACTGCCACAACTATATGGCTTAAAGCACTACAGAAATGTGGCAACATAAATTATGACAAAGTATAACTCTCAGTGATACAGAAAATGTAAAATGCAGGGAATTCTATTGAATGTTATATAAAATTAATACAGAACAGAATACAACAATAAGAATAAGAAAAACAAAACTTAAAGAAATGGAGAGCATATTATCATTCCCATGCTGTGATCTAACTAATTCAAAATAGGTCCTAAAGTATTCTACTTTAAGTAATCTGAAAGATCAACAAGATTGGGGCAAGTCTTTCACAACAATTTACTCCACTGATTTTCCTTAAATTTAAGCATAGAAGTCCAAATTAGTACTGAGAAAATCTGCAAAAATGAAGCAGCCATCCTCAAAGCACCGAAACAGTTACCCTTATTGAAGGCATCCAAGGTTGCCTTGAGACTTTTCCCTGATTATTTCTGCAAGGATAATAATCATAATCATAATTTAAATTACACATGTTTAATAAATAATAAACAAATGCATCTAGTATACATGCATGAACATTTTGTTCAGCAAAAAAGTCTCAGTGGAATTGGACAACTTTTTATATTCATTATGTGAAGAAAAACATTCTGTTCACGCATTCAGGAAAGGATAAGTATACTCTTCTGCTATGAAACAATACACTATCTCTTCTTATACAAAGAGATATTATTAGGCAGCTTTAAGAAGCTTTATGTCTTTCAGCTGTAGGATTCCATGAATCCAGAACCCGTCTTCCCTGATGCAGGAGGAGAAAGAACCAGGTTCTAGTTTATCTGCTGAGTGAGAAAAAACTCACGCCTCTCTAAACATTGTGATTTTGTGATAAAAATGCTGATACGCAAGAACAATGTATCCATGGAAGGCAAGTAAAAGATGTAATATCCTTCTTGTTATTCTCTATTGAATATAAGCATCTATGGAATCTCATAAATCAAGCAGAAATATTAATCTTACATGCAGTTAAATACATGTATAATTAAGTAATACCTTATAGTCATCTTTCCAACCTCATATTAAAATTTCCATACTAATAGTGGATTTTATTCACACAGTTTTCATATTCATTTTCTTTTCCATTTATGTACTTTAAATATGACAAAGGCTATAATCCTAGCAACATTTACATGGGAATAAGTCTCAATGAATTCTGGACACATGTAGAATCACAATGTATTGTTTTCTAATTTCAAAGTGTTATGATGATGTACAGACCACTACTCTTTCTGTTTTTGTTACAGAATTAAGCAAGGAGTCATAATTGAAAGGGATGTTTTTTTCATGCCCAGTGGAGCTAAATAACAACCAAGTGAGCAGTACATGCAAAAGCATTCTTTTAATATGGGCAGGTTGATACAGGTAAACTAATCTGATTCCAAAAGATAAAGGGCATTTATAATGAAAACAGATTTCAATTAAACTTGGAAATACAGTGCCTATTGATGAATAAACCAACATGTTTGTATGCTGGTAGTGGGGAAAAAGTTAATGAGTGCTCACATGAAAATATTCTTATACATTTGGCTAAACACACAAACACATACATATCTTACAACAGTACTGAAAAAAGTGATTTATGACAATTTTTCACAGTTACAACTCTTGTATCATCCCCAAGATTATGGGATCAAAATTCAGATGCTTCACAATTGGTTCATACTTATGAAGTCATGTGATCACCTTTTGCAATCTTTTGACAAGCAAAGTCAAAGGGGAAGCCAGATTACTAACTTATCAACTGTGATTCACTTAACAACAGTGGCAAGAAAGCAATAGCACTTAGACTTATATACAGCTTCACAGTGCTTTATAGCCCTCCCCAAGCACTTTACAGGGTCAGCATATTGCCCCCCAAAATCTGGGTCCTCATTTTACCGACCTCAGAAGGATGGAAGCTGAGTCAACCTTGAGCCCATCAGAATTGAACTCCTGGAGTGAGCAGTGAGTTAGCCTACAGTACTGCATTCTAACCACTGCACCACCACAGCTCTTAGGTCGTAAAATGGAGCAAAACTCACTTAACCAATGTTTCACTTAACATCGAACATTTGGGGCTCAATTGTGGTCGTAAGTCAAGGACTAACTGTACAGGTAGAAGCCCCATCAAGTTAGGGAAGGAACAGGCTGCTCAACTTTTGTCTTGACTTATGGATAGGGTATTCTTTTTTAATCTGATGTGTTCAGGGTTGGGAGGTCAAAAACTTTGCACACATATTGACCAAACCTAGGACTTTATGCAAATCCAGCATATACTGGCAACTTTTTAAAGCTTTGTTTAAAAAAAAAATCAGAGAAATGTATAGTAGGTTATTACATCTCAACAGAAACACCTACGTTACATACTGGGCATGAAAAAAACATCCCTTTCAATTATGACTCCTTGCTTAATTCTGTAATTAATTCATTATATCAAATTATATCAAATCTTCACATGATATGTACCATGTATGAAAGTTTTCTGAAAAGCTTTGATGCTGAAATGCTAATTTCCTACTTTCATTATACTCCTGCATTCATTTAACCTTACAGTATTTTCATAGCTCAAAAGAAAACAAATTATATGTAGGAGGGAGCTTCTCTATTCAATATATAAATGTATATTTTGAGTTGGAAAACAGTGAATCATTACCCAAGACTGAATGCTGAGCATGCATTTAAAAATATTGGTTTTTTGCATATTATTTTGATTCCTTTTGAAAATGGAACAATGATTGATATAAGTCAGGCCAAAGGTCAAATGTTTTCTGACATACTGATAATAATGGACATACTGGTTTTATTTTTTTTCAGTGGAGTTAAGTATTTTTGAATAACTGCATTAACAGCAACTTGCTAATCAAACTACTTTTTATGCTAATAAGGGTAATTACCTTACACACCACTAGATTTGTATTTATTATTACTACTTTGAAAGTACTCTCATACAAGTCTGAACAACGCATGAAATTATAGTTTAAAAATTCAGAAGCAATTGCTCGGCAACTTTCCATCAGAACATGGGGTAAGAATATTTTCTACATTATATCATTTCTCTATCATCGTTAGAGAGATGAATGATTAGAATACACCAATGGATTTAGGCATACCTTATGCTATAATTTTACTCCAGCAATTGCCAAATGTTACTAATGCGCAGTAATCTTTACAGGGTTGATATTGCTAGACCAGTGTTCAACCTGCCCTCTGGCATAGATATCTATCCAGGTGGGCAGGAAGATACAGAAATATTTGCAAGGCTGATGATGAAAGCTATTACAGCACAATGACTAATATTGTACTTAGCCGTAGAAGCTGGGAAGTTTCAGGCTCAAACCTTGACCTGGGTGGCCTTAAGAGAAGCCACTATTCTCTTAGCCTCCACAATTCAGCCGAGATAATTATATCAATCTATTTTGCAGGCTTGCACTAATAATTATTTTAGTAATGACTTCAAACATGTGCTTTAAACATGCTGCTCTTTAGTTCGAAGTTTGTGAATACCTCAAATTAGTGACAGGGTTGAAGGAGAGAAAGATCTTGAGGAGTCTCGTCATTTTATTTTTGTAAAAAAGAAAAACTAGATAGACAAAGTTGAAACTACAAAAAAGACCAGCACAAGGAAGAGACAAAAAAACAACATAAGGTCCAAAATCAGTTGTTAAAAAGAGTATAATAATTACGCAGAACCATCTGACTGCTAAATTTTCCATATGTAAATCTTCCAAGAGAAACTGCAGGTCCATAGTTAAAAATAGATAATACTTCAGGCTATGTTTAACTTTAAAAAGTTAGATCCCGATTGTGAACATTTTCAAAAAGTAAGTTGGCCTGAAGAACTATATGTGTGTTATAACAGTTAATGGTTAAACTCAATTCAAGAAGAGAAAGCACCAAGGAAAATTAGAAAAAATAAATATATTGCACATTTGGGGAGAAAAACGGAACAAGCTGCAAAGGATAGGTAAGGGAAACAACAGGTGGAAAAAAATATCTGTATCTATTCTTTGACAATACATCCGTGTCCATTGTATATTTGGAAAGGTAACCTACCTGCAAGTTTCAAAACCGAGGGTAAAGGCTTCTTGCATTTGTTCAAATGTTGGGATGGTACTATTAAGTGCTTCGCAAAGCTGAACAGCCTCTTCTCTCGTAAGACTGTAGCGTTGATTCTTCTCTACATGGAAAACACCTGCATATCTACAACTTATATTCAAATCTGTACATTGGGGGGGGGGGGGGGGAGAGAACAGGAAGAAAAGAGAAGTCATGATAAAGATAGCAAAAAGCATTGCAACAAACATTTTCCGAAATGGCTGCTTCAGAACTATTATTAAATTTCTATTTTATTTCAATAAAAATAAATTAATCATTTATTATTAAATCCTTGAGGTAACCGGTTTTAACCAATTCCACATATCAGAAAAAAAGCAACTGCTCTGACCTGGCATTTATTTATTTTTTAATAATAAAAGTCTCAATTTTACACAATGTAATTTATCTCTGCCACAAGGTGCATTTCAATGCACAAAAGTGTCTTAGAAATGATCCATGTCATTAAAAAAAATTCCATGTCTTCCACTAAGGCTATCAACCCATTTCATTTGTGTCCCTCTTTATATGTATCTTCTAAAATAATTCCCATTAGCATAAGCCTTCTATCCGGACTAGTTCTGCTTTAAACTCATTAATGCATTTTAACCAAGGCTCTTTTCTAATGAACAAAACAAGCAAGCTGAATTAAACTACACTTGAATTGCAACATTGGAACAAATAATGACTTGCTGACAATGTAACCAGAGAAACAGAAATTTCTATTTATGGAATAAAGGATCAGGCTGTGGTCAAAATATTGAACATTCCACTGGTTGGAAATTACAGATTTCTATTTCTTTTGCCCGTATATGAATTTAGAATTTTATAGAGATTTTAGGCATAAACCAATCATAGTATGTGATAGAAATAGATGTCCAACAGTGATTCTACATATCACTGCTATATAATAAAATTACAACGTGTCAAGTATGTCATGTCACTCCAACAAAAACAGCTTCAAACTGGGCCCCAACAAGTATACACACAAGACAGGCACCTTCACATGTTTTTCCTCCAATGTGAAATATGTCATTATCAACTGGAGATTCTACACAGAAGAAACAGGACAAACTTTTCACAAAAGAATTAATAGACATGTTTGACATCAGCACTAAAAAACAAGGACAAAGTCATATCAGAGTATTTCAATTTTTGTCAATACTTCCATAGCAGACCTCAAGGCCAGTTTTGAAAAAATCAGAAAGCTATTCAGCAAGAAAACTGTTGCACTCACATACATCTAAATGTTTCAGGCAATCTCAAATCTCAACAAACAATAGGTTTTTTTTAAACATATCACAGTTGTTAATTGTGAAGATCTATGTGTGACCCTCGTTTCCATAGCCAACCTATTTTCCCTTCTTCCCAATTCCTACGTAAGTCCAGCACCTCTGCATCTGATGCAGTGAGCTGTAACGCATGCCTTATAATAAAATTTGTTACTTGGAAAGGTGCTACCAGATTCTAATTTTTAATGTGTCTTTCCTCCTGTAATAGGATGTCAGGTACATAAAACAACCAAGCAAAAATGGAAAGAACTAGCTTTAACTGTTTTAATACATGCCACCATCTAAGGAAGGGAGAAGATTAACTAAGTCTTTGGTTATTTACTCTAAAAGTACTTTACTGCTTAACTGAAACAAAACAAAAGAAAGGAAATGTAGTCACTCCCAGAAGGGAAAGCAAAACAAAACAAAACAGCCTTGTGCCATTAACCACAGTGGGAAACACATAACAAAAAGTTTTCATAACATAGAAACATGAATATTACTCATATGCATATTAATGTCACTGAGCAAAGGTACAGTTACTTTAAAAACATGACACCTAAAAGAAAGCTCCACTCATTATATGTCATTATTATTATTCAATTTTACAACCTATTCTAAATAACTCTGGGTGACCTAAGGTAAAGGTAAAGGTTCCCCTCGCACATAGTGCTAGTCGTTTCCGGCTTTCGGGGACGGTGCTCATCTCCATTATAAAGCCAAAGAGCCAGCGCTATCCGAAGATGTCTCCGTGGTCATGTGGTCAGCATGACTAAACGCCGAAGGTGCACGGAACATTGTTACATCAAAGTGGTCCCTATTTTTCTACTTGCATTTTTACATGCTTCCGAACTGCTAGGTTGGCAGAAGCTGGGACAAGTAACGGAAGCTCAGTCCGTTACGCGATGTTAGGTATTCGAACCGCCGATCTGCCAACCTTTCAGCGTCTTAGCCATTGAGCCACTGCATCCCTTTGGTGCCTTACTACATCCAAATATACAATTAAAAGAGTTCAAACCTGATAGCCTGGGCTAAAAACAACCACAACAATAAAAAAATAACAAATGAATCTCAGGCATACCGTGTTTCTCCAACAATACGGCCTCCACCAATAGGAAGGCCCAGCATGATTTCTAGGCATGAGGTGAAATTAAGCCCCAGTGTTAAGCCTGGATTCCCCAACGGGTGTTAAGGAAAACAAACTAAACAGAATGTGCAGCGAAGTCAGATAGGAAGACAGGTAAATGTGTGAGATAAGTTTTCTAGTTAACACGCAGTAAAAATACAGATACGCTTGTGCTATCAAAAATATAGTTTATTCCATTTAAGAATTATAGCATAGTCATTATAAACAGTCCATTAGTCAAATACCAAATTCAGTCAAGTCTTGTCGAGGATACTCTAATTGCAAAGTCCGTGTCGAATAGCCAGTGTCAGTACACATATAATAAATCTGTCCAAAACTTATCTTCTCTCCGTTGAGAAATATCTTCAAAGTAATCCAACACTTCTTCTCCTCCCCGATCCAGCAAGAATGCAGTCTTCAATAAGCCAGCCAGTAAGAGCCAGAGAGTGCCTTGCTGCTTATATAGTACTTTTACAGCTGCACCCTTAATTACATTCCTTTAGCTTAAAGTCACATACACTTTATCTGAGAAACCATGATTCATCATTTTATTATCTTTACCCAAAACAGTTAGGGTAAAACAATGTTATCCCTAACACCCACCCCCCAAATTTAGGCCTATTTAAACCATGCATTTCCCCGCCATTTCTCACATCGTTCGTTAGAACTACACGAGGTAGGAAGAGAAATGGGGGGGAAGGGCGGGGGGTGGGGAGAAAACTTGCCTTTAGGAGTGCCCTGCAGGCAGCCTAGGCTAGAATACCCTGATCTACTACTGATAGAACATCAGCCGATAGAAGCTCCCCAAAGGCAGAGTCACCAGCTGCTTCGATCGGCCGGTAGAAGCGGCCCCGGGCGAGCGCCCACGCACAATCCCCTCTCCACAAGGCCATTTCTATCGGCCAATGAAAGCTCCCTGAAGGCAGAGTTCCCAGCCACTTCGGGGCGAGGCGTGGCTGCCCGTGTCCCTTCGCCATTAGGCAGTGTCTTTCGGGCGATGGAAGCTTCCCAAGGGCAGTGACCAGCCACTTCGATCGGCCGGTAGAAGCAGCCTCGGGGCGAGGGGAGTGTGCGTGGGTGCTCGCCCAGAGGCCGCTTCTACTGGCCGATCGAAGTGGCTGGTCACTGCCCTTGGGAAGCTTCCATCACCCAAAAGACACTGCCTAATGGCGAGGGGACACAGGCAGCCACACCTCGCCCCAAAGCGGCTGGGGACTCTGCCTTTGGGGAGCTTTCATCGGCCGATAGAAATGGCCTTGTGGAGAGGTACGTGCACATGGGCTGATCTAGGTGGGGGAGGAAATTAAGTCACCCCCAAAAAGACAGCCTAGCCATTTTTTCGGGGGTCAAAAAAAAATAAGGCCCGGTCTTATTTTGTGAGAAACATGGTAGAAACAGAGCCGGGTCTTAAGGACTTTCTGGAACTCCAGGAGTTCGGACACTATTCATATCTCTGGGCAGATGTTGTTCCAGACACTGGCAGAGGAAGAACACTTCCTAGGTCCTGCAAGATTGAGTCACTTTTAGTTGAATAGATGACATGGAAGGAACTACTGCCCAATCTTCTCAAAATATTTTCCATGACATATTTTACCCCTCAGATTTGGGCATTTCAACGGCTAAAGTTGACAAAAAGGCAGACCTTTGAAATGGATCATTATATACAGTATCAGTGGATTTCTTCTTGAGTTGTAATTTGCTTTTAGACCCAAATACATTATTACTTCAGTTCCACGATATTTCTCTTTCAGACATACACAGCAAGTACTGTACTAAGCAAAAAGCTGGTGTCTAAAGCTGAGGCACATGTAATCTAAAATAATCCCAGAATAGCTGATTTATACAGACACAAAAACATGAAATGGAATTAGGTTTTAATCTTGGCAGGCACTGTTATTTGTTTCTAATATAGTTAATGAATTTTAAGATGTTTATTGTAACTTGTTTATTTATTTATTTCATTTTACTGTTAGCTACCATGGGCATCCTTTTAATAAGTCAGACATAAATACATGAATTTTAGGTATTGTCAACAAATGATGAGGAACTCTATGCAGCTGAATGAGTAACTGGCACAGGTGGAACAAGGCATTCAACTTATTCCTATGCTAAAAGAAAATAAACATTTGTGCCACATTACTATTATAATGGCCTGGTGGAAAAGGGACTAATTACTTCAACTCTTCTCTACAAGCTACTAGGAAAAAAGATTTTCTTAAAAAGCAAAACAAAAAATCAACTGACCTGTACTCAATTAAAATATATTTGCATACTATCCTTTAAAGATAAATTTCCTGCCTCTGTAATAACAAGGATAGGCTTAGCAGAATATTTTTGTGTATTTGGCAATGGAATTTGTCACTAATCACTGCTGTAGGATTAGATACAAATTGATCATTCTTCCAAATTAATAATCCACATTGTTGAGGGCAATATGCTGACTCTATAAATCACTTAGAGAGGGCTGTAAAGCTGTGAAGTATAAATGCTATTGCTATTTTTTCATTTTGAAAACTGTTGTTGGACATCGTTTTGTTTCTCTTTTAAATTTAAAATGGGAACAAGCCCAAAACAAGATTGCTTGTTTATTAGCACTACTCCCAAATGACGGAGGCTCTCTGTCTTATTAAGCTGCTCCATTAACAGTAAAAGCAATTAAACCCTAACACATTTGGCTTATTAAGTATGACATCCAACCAGATCACAATGGCTCTATCAAACAAAGAGAAG